AAAATTATTTCAAATAAATTATTCCTAATATAAATTATAAAAATGTATTTTTTTTTTCTTTGCCATTTTATTTTAAGTCACATTTCAATTAATTAAAATTGAAAATTTTAGGTTTTGATATGTAAATAGATAGGAATTGGGTGGTATATATGTAAATATCCCTCTAAAAAAAAAATTCAAATTACTACCACCAACATGATAATCGTCGTACTTGTGAACAAAATTTCAAAGTGTTTTTGGTGAAATGTCATACCACTTCATGGACACCTCCTAATCCATCTCTTAATTAAGATTAATAGTGATCATTAATCAAGGTGGATTGACCAACTTGATTAAACTTTATGAAATCATGCATCATGCTCGCATCATTGTTTGTTCAACAAAGTCTCCTTTACGCAGTAGTTGCTAATTGAGAAGTTTATCGTTTTTGTAATTTTCCTTTTTATTTTTTTAATTTAAATTTTTATATGGCACTTTACAAAGGGTGCATTTCATTTTCTTAACAAAAAGTAAAATTGTAAAATTTTTTGATGTGTTATTAGAAATATGAAAAAATATTAAATTAAATCTCCACGCGTAAAGTTATGTGCGAAGTCCAATGAAATTACCTCGTGGAATACGAGAAATATTCCCCTCGTGTTATTCAGGTGTTATTGTATGTTATTCAAGTATTATTGTTCTGTTATTTGTTATTATAAAATTGGAAATATTTTCAGAATATAATAACACCTGAATACCATACAATAATATATGAGAATAGCACAGAATAACACGAGAGGAATATTCTCTTATATTACGGGGCTGATCACTTCCACGTCATAATTTTATTGGACTGCGCACGTAACTTTACGTGCGGAGTCCTAATGTAATATTTTTTCTATAAATATGGGTGGCATGATGTAAGAAGTATTGGGGTTAGTTATGTAACTACATAGGAGCTTGGTGGTATGTATGTATATGGCGCTAAATTTTTTTATTATTTATGTAATAACTTAACATTAAATGAATATTATAAGTTTAATACTTCGAAAATGTATTAATAATAGGTGATTGATATTCTTCAGCGAACAGGGGGAGGAGGTATGAAACAAAAGCTTACCTACTGTTTTTAATTTTTCTATTTTTTAAAACTTTATTTTTATAGTATTTTATTTTATTTTATTAATTTATTTACTTGGGCGTGGGAAGACGTGATATTACAGCTATAAATAAATGATTTTTGCTTTATAATGTAGCTCTTTTGATTTTAGACATCTCAACTTTATAGTAAAAAATGGTATTTTTAATGAAGAACAATGATTACTGAAAGAAATAACTAAGAAGTAATGGATATTTTGCTTTGGATTTACTCTGCAAATGATGAATTTTTTGTTGGGATCAAGCTCAATAATATTTTAAGATTGGATGCAATTTGGCATGCATAAAAGAGGATATTTACATACATACCATCTAATTCTTATGTTCTTATAACTGAAGAGTTATGCAATTTGATCTCTTAAATTTATGCATGAAATTGAGTATCCAAA